CGGAGCTGCCCTCCGGCTGCTTCGCCCCCGGCCGAGAGGCGGTGCCTTACTTTAACGCTCGCCCGGCCCTCCCGAGCCTTGCGCAATATTGGTCTCCCGCGGGGCGTGGGGTGGCTGCCCCGGCGTCTCTCTGGCAGTGCCGTGGCGGCGTGGGCCCGCCGCGATCCCCGCCGCTGTGCGGCTTGCGGTCTGCGGCTTGAAAGTACCCCCGCAGGAGGCTGCTCCGTAACGGGGGCCGCTCCCGAGGCAGCGGCAGCACTGGGAGCGTGTGAGAGCTGCTGGGAGGGCAGACCTGGCCCTCAGGAGGCCGGCGTGCGAAAAAAGCACCCCGAGGAGGTAGGGGGATGGTGAAAGCGGTGACTTGAGTGTGTTAAGGGTATTACTTCTGTCTCTGCAGGTCTACGAGTAGCTCAGGCGTCAATATTCCCAGGATGACTGCCTGGGTGCCTTCTGATGCGCTGGGGTGCAGAATCCTGTGTGGCACAGAACATGCAACTGTGCGCTACGTTGGCAGTGTTCCTCCTACATCAGGTAAACATCGCAATAGTAAATAACCTTTACATTTAACAGTGGTTTTCAAAATTCTAGTTATGTTCTTCTTTTTTTTTAAAAAAAAAAAAGTCAGGTAGAATGTGACAATTTGCAGGTTGTTTTTATCGTTGTTCTTGGATGAATATGGCAATTTATAATCTAGAGAAATTTTGGGGTTTTTTTAGAAGTCAGAGTTATCAAAGGAGTTTACACTCTTTACACAAGTACTTTTGGTTGAAATTGGTTACATTTTTTCTTACAGGAGGAAGATCCTGTAAGGATCCAGAAAAGGATGCCTTCCCTTTTCCATTAGTTTTCATGATCAATGTTCCTTAATATCTGTTTACTGGCATTGTGTGAAAAGGAGAGAGACAGACAGCAGCAGCAGATAAAGGGACCAGGCTATTCTTTGATAACATAATCAGATTTGTGGGGACAAATAAGACTCAGCGCAGCTTGATGAAAGATCCGACTAGTCTGATTGCGAGAGCACTATATGTCATATTTGAAAAGCTGTGGTGACAGGGTGGGGAGACTGCTGATACTTGTAAGGAGAGTAGCCTTGTGTACAGCTCTAGAAGAGGCACGGAGGATGACCAGGGAACTGTAGACTCATCAACCTCATTTCAGTTCCTGGAAGGGTCACGTAGCATGTTCCCTTGGAATCCATTTCCAAGCCTATGAAGGGCAAGATGGTAGCTGGGAGTACTTGATACTTGTACAGAAGAACAAGTTGTGTTTGGCAAACCTTATTACCGTCTGGGATGATATGACTGGGAATGTGAGCAAAGGGGGAATGGGGGATGTAACATTCCTTAACTTTAATAGGTCTTTTAACAGTGTCTCTATAAAGAAGCTTATTTGGAAGCTGGAGAAGTACAAGCCAGATGAATGGACTGTTACGTGGGTTGAAAGTCCGCAGGTCTGTCAAGTAGAAAAGTGCTTATCAATGACTTGATATCTGATAATGCACTAGTACTACAGAAATAGGTGCTGCTGTCTAAGATATTCGTTAGTGTCTCAGATAATGTGCAGTATTCACCCTTAACTGGCTGATGTGACAAAAGGTAGAATTGCAATCCAGAGTAAGCTTTATGAATTTTAGATTTGGGCCTAAGGGATTCAAGAAGGATAAATTTCTGCATGTAGTGTGAAATAAACCCATGTATCAGTGTAGACAGGGAAGCACTAGCAACCCACAGGGTCTGTTGTAAAGGGCTTGGGAGTTGAGGTGGATACTGTCATGAACGTGAGCCAACAGTGAGCTCTTGTCACAAGCAAGATATGTTTTGTACTGGGTTACCTTAGAACAATGAACATGGCCAACAGATCAGAGGAAGCTGTTATCCCCCTCTGAGGACAGGGGTTCTTGATAAGGTTGATCTTGGAATACTGTATCTGATTCAGGACTGTCCCAATTCAAGAGGGATGTGGATAAACTCGAGAGGATTCAGTGGAGGGCTGCCAAGGTGGTCAAGGGCACAGACCATGTAAGTGTGTTGTGAAGAGAGGTTAAGGGATCTGGGTTTCATTATTGTGGTGAAGAGGAGTTTAAGTGCCTGCAGCTGTTTGACAGATGGTTATGAAGATGACAGAGCCACATTCTTCTTATTAGTGTTAGTTTATGTAATAGGGGGCAACACCCACCAGTTGTGGCTGGAAAGGTTCAAATTAGACAGCAGGAAAATCTTTTTCTCTACAGAAGTAATGCAGCACAGGAATAGGATGTCCAGATATATTAGAATCTTTCTCTCCTTGGAGACTTTCAAGATCTGGCTAGATAAAGATTTACCTGGCTAACCTGGTTTTAGTGCTGGTGATAATCTCCTGCTTTGAGAGAGAAGGTTAGGCTAGATGTCTTCAGAAGTTCCTTCCAGCCATGATTTCTATGGCTGTGATGCCATAAATTTGAAAATGTGTCTACCATATTTTTCAGG